TTAAAAAAAAAACGAAAATACATTTTAAAGACACTTTTTCAAAAATACCCCTCCATCTTCCTCTCTCTCTCTCGACGGTTCGGACTCAAGAAATCACTTTAATTGACAGTCGGCCGTCCAGACATCTCCCTCACTGTTGAACTTCCGGTTGCCGGCTATCTCCTATTGTAAATATTAGTTTTTGTGGAGTTATAATTAAATTGTTGGATTTTGTTGAGTTTTAATCAGATTATTGGTTGAAATATTATTTTTGTGTAATGAAATGCATGAATAAGGCTAGATTTGTGAATAGATAAAGTGTATTAGCCCATTTTGATTGTCTGGGGAGCTCCAACTCGTCGAAAATGGTGGATTCGAGTGAAAGGAGCTACGAGCCGTTGACAGCCGGCCGATTGTTAATAGCCAGGTCTAACAACCGGTTAAACTGGCTATTTAACAGCATGTTCTAACCGGCCCTTTTTTTAATTTCCTAAATTAATTTAAATCACTAAATGTTTGGAATTTTTAATTAAATAATTTTTTTCTTGATCAAATTTAAAGAAATTTGTTATTCTAAAATTATTTTTTTAATTCTAATTTTAAATCTATATTTGAAATTGAATTTTAATTTTAATTTTAATTTTAAATTTTCATTTTCATTTTAATTTAAAGAAATTTGTTATTTTAGAATTAATTTTCAAATTAATTTTTTAATCCTAATTTTAAATTTTTATTTTTATTTTTTATTTTATTTTAAATTTAAATTTTCATTTTAGTTATAATTTTAATTTAAAGAAATTTGTTATTTTAAAATTAATTTTAAAATTAAATTTCATTATAATTTTAAATATTTTTTTAATTTTAATTTTAAATTTAAATTTCATTATAATTAAAAATTTTAATGTAAATAAACTATGTAATTTAAAATTGAATTTCAAATTAAATTTTTAATTCTAATTTTAAAATTTTATTTTTAATTTAAATATAATTTTTTATTTTATTTTATTTTAAATTTAAATTTTCATTTTAGTTGTAATTTAAATTTAAAGAAATTTATTATTTTAAATTAATTTTCAAATTAATTTTTTGATCCTAATTTTAAAGTTGTATTTTTAATTTAATTTTAAAATTTAATTTTATTTGAAATTTAAATTTTCATTTTAGTTATAATTTTAATTTAAAGGAATTTGTTATTTTCAAATTACTTTTTTAGTTCTAATTTTAACTTTTTATTTTAATTTAATTGTAATTGTAATTTTATTTTAAATTTATATTTTCATTTTAATTGTAATTTTAATCTAAAGAAATTTGTTATTTTAAGATTAATTTTCAAATTACTTTTTTGATTCTAATTTTAATTGTAATTGTAATTTAAATGTAATTGTAATTTTATTTTAAATTTAAATTTTCATTGTAATTATAATTTTAATTTAAAGAAATTTCTTGCTTTAAAATTAATTTTCAAATTACTTTTTTAATTTTAATTTTGACTTTTTATTTTAAATTTAATTATAATTGTAATTGTAATTTTAATTTTAATTTTTATGGTAATTATTAATTTTCGATAATACTGTAAAAAACTCATATTATTAATTTTTGGTAAGAGAGAACAAATTTCATGAATCTGTGTCTTGGTAGTAGTTACGATTCAGTTCATTTAATTTTGAGTTATTATGCTTTATTTCATTATTTCATGTATAATATTCTAATATTTTGTTTCAATTTTCGCAGGATGAATTATTATTTGGATATAGAGTTGAGATAGATGTCAGGCAAAGTTACGTGGAACAGTAACTTTGACAGCTTCACCTAGGTCCTGGAGCTACTTGACGACCAGCATGCAGATATGTTGCGTTAGTCCTTTCTGTGCATCTATACCGTAAGAGAGTCGTCGTATTCGGGTCAGATGATCAATGCTCTTCTATGTCAGTTGCTGAGTCCAGTTGATGGCAATGCCCTCCACTTCGACCTCGAGGGCAAAGTCCCCATCTTTTCCATGTTCGAGTTGGTTTGTTGACTGAATTGAAGATTACGGGAGATGAGACAGCTAGCAGTAGGACTCAGAGAAAAAATAGGCTGCAGGACACTTACTTCTAAGGACAAGGGGCGGTGGTTCTGCCTCAATTGATGGACGCGATCAAAAGGTGTGACGAGATGTTGGACAGACCGAAGTTATGTCTGGTCTACATCATTGAGAGCATGATGCGGTGTCACCACAAGAAGACTGCGATCGACCTCTTCCACCTGGAGATCGTCGACGACATAGATCGCTTCAACAACTATCCATGGGGCCTCCGATGTTTCGAGAACACCGTCCACATCTTCACCAGACCGCACTCGAAGCCTAAGGGGCCCGTGCATAAGTATGACACGTACGGATTCCCCTTGGCACTGCAGGTAAATGATTAACGCAATCAATGTTAAAAAAAATTTTCTATTGAACTTGTATGTACTAATTTATCTGTTGCAAGTTTGGGCGTATGAGACCATCCCCATATTGGGTACCCGCTTTATGTGGCGAAGGGAGACACACTGCCCTCAGATGCACCATTGGCGAGCATTTCGAGTGGAGGGATGTCCCACTGGGAAATAATTATTGGCTCTCCTCGACAACCCTCATGTGAGTATTATAAATTTGTGATTTATATTGTACATAATTTAAAATCTCATTACATGATTTTATCTTTTTAAAATGTAAATATATCAGCTTGAAGTAATAACTCATTTGATGTCGTCGATGGAGGAGGAGGCGCAGGGTCTTGTGCATGAAATAGCGGTTTCGCACACCTCAAGACGACCAGATGTTCGATTCGATCCCCAATCGAGAATGGTTAAATGAATTATTGATAAATATTTTGTATGAGTTAGCAATTATTGAATAAGTTAATAACATGTAAGGTTGTATAGGACTGCGAGCTAGTTGATCGGGCATCACCTCCGCCCAGGGATCACCTTTTCTTCCTCAGGGTGATTATTCTGATGATCTGTACCATCGCCTGACTGGATTTATGGTGCAGAAGGTCGGTGCGTTACGTAGAGAGCTGGTAGAAGTTATATCAAGGGAGGTCGACGCACTGCGTCGAAAGCTAATAGGAGTTATATCAGAGGAGGTCGATGTGCTGCGTCGAGATATGGTGGAGCGGGTCGACGATCTAGGACGCCAGTTGGTAGGGAGGGTCGAGGATATAGCTGATGATGTTAGAGTGCTCCGTGGGCAGTTAGGGGATCTTCAGGATGATGTGATATCACTCTGAGGTTATATAGCAGGCAGACGATGGGGTGACGATCAGGGGGATGATCGAGAGGATAGAGATGGGGGTCACCCACAGTCGTGCTCAAAGGATGCATGAGAATCCTTTCTTCAATCCATGGATGATAGGGTGGCCTTGAAGGTGGAGGAAGGAGTGGCCCCATCGGGGATGGGAGCGATAGTCAAGGAGGTGGTTCCGACTATAGCGAATGAGGGGGTTGAGGAGGTGGTGTTGACGGGATGGATGAGGAGGTGGGCCTCTCGAGGACGAGAGCTATGGTCGAGGAGGTGGTGACGATGGGGACGAAAGAGGAGGTAAGCGTGGAAGAGGTGGCAATCGTCGGGGCGGAGGAGGGGGCAATGCCCGAGGTAGGTGAGGGGAGGATGACCACTGTGATTGGGGCGAAAAAGCGTGTTGTTGACGTGACGGAGCTGGTGGTAGGCAAGAGGCCAAAAGTACCGCCACAGTACATTTATCTCCCTTTACGGTTGAGACAAAGAGGAGGAAGTTCGTTGATGGGATGATCCCCAACTTATTTTGGGAGGTGGACCATACCAAATGAAAAGCGTTCGAGACGGAGTGGAGAAGAATGTTGCCCGGGTAAGTAATCACGATATTAGTGATATTAGTACATACTAGTGATCGTTACTCGTATATGCTTTTTTAACATTTCTCTATTTCTTTTATTAGGACCAACTGTATGATCGGTACTGTAACGATCTGCGATACTTATAAGTCGTTCCCGACATCATTACTTCAGGAGCTTGGCTTGCCGACGATGTAAGTGAAGTAGTCATATTGTTATTTTTTATGACTTGTACATCATTGTTTGTTTATGCAATGAAATAACTCCCTTTTGTATTGCTATTTCTTAATGCAGCACATCGACCTGGTCATGAACTTGTCGCGTGATTGGGTTCAAAGATATTCGGGGTCATTTGACAGTCTTAATCAAGTCATACTGAATTTGGAGCTCGGAAGAAACGTTGACATTGAGTACCAGTCGCTCCAACATGTCGACAAGGAGTACGCGGTGCCCGACTACATACTCGAATGGACCATAGGGATGTGGCCACATGTCTGGGGGAAGTCATGGGAGGGTTGTACACATATGTACATATCAGTGATCGTGAATCATCACTGCATAGTCTTGGAGGTTGTGTTCGCTGAGTCTACTATATATGTGTACGACCCCAATCATTCATGTCTGACACAACGTCAGCTCGAGCAAAATTTGGAGTCCAATGCTTTTTTGTCCCTATGATGGCTAGACAAGCGGGATTGACTGTGAAGAACAGATTAATCGTCGTGCCAGACACGACGATGGCAAGGCAGACAATATCGTGAGTGGTTCTAAAATTTTTAAAATTTAATACTTAATTTTTTTGTTGTACGGTACTGATCAAACTCATTATTGTTTATTTGCAGGGGCGATTGTGCCATTTTTGCAATAAAGTAAATCGAATTTTTGAGTATAGCACATAATGTTGATAGAATCAACCAATCCTGGATACAGAATTGGCAAAATAAGTTAGCCTGCGACTTATTCTACTTTAATGGTGATCCATAGATTTATTGTAATTATTAGTTGTAATTTTTTGTAATTACGAAATAATGGTAAACACTGTAAATATTGGTTTTTTGTACTTACAAAATGTTCGTAAACATTGTAATTGATTATTAAATGATAATTAATTACGACATCCTTTGAAATATCGTAGAATAAATGCAAACACTGTTTATTTCAGATGGACAACATTACCAAATGATCTAACTATCATTTAGAGGAACATGACTTGTACAATATTGGAGAGTATGCCCTACTGATTTGCACTGGCTGCACCTACGCGATCGAGGAAATTCTCTGGTAGATGGTATTCTAGACGTACTTGGACATTTAGGACCACGCGGTTCAATGAGAGGTGGCAACAATGTATTGAGTGGAAGAATATAGTCGGGGACTTCCCACTCAACTTCGTTCCACAGAGAAAATATTGTCTCAGCGTACGCATCTCTCCAATAATCAGTCGTGAAGTAATGAGAGCACAATGTTCTAGTTGCAAATTCTCGATACATAGCAACCGCGACTGCATGCTCACATGAAAAAGTCTCTAACTGAAATTTTGTACAAGTGCTTATGTTATCAGTCAAGTCCACCATATATGCCGTATTACATGCACATTCCACCGAGAAGCGCAACTCGTTTAGTGGTTTGACATTCAACTGTCTCGCAAGTTCTGTAGCTTTGAATAGCCTTTCATCTTGCGCTGGGGCTAGCACGCTCGTGCAATTCTGTGATTCCGCACGTCGATCGTGAAATCACTGCTGTAGTATGGTACGGATATTCTCAATCAGTGCAAGTATGGGTAATTCTCGACCCTTCTTGAATAATGCATTGATAGACTTCTCGTTGTTTGACGTCATCATGTTGTATCGACGTCCTGAAAAAAACGAGCATGCCCAATGTTCAATTACCATTTTCGTTAGATAATCCTATGCATCAAATGTTTACTTCCTATTTCAACCATGAACTTATTACACTCTTCAACATTGTAGGCTTCGACCGCTCTCCTGAACAATGAAACGGCACCTTTGCCCCGATACCTAGTCTTCAGATTGCCTTGAATTTGGTGCATGCAATACCCATGATGTGCATCTGAAAAAACTTCAGTGATACCATTTATTAAAGGCCGTCCTCGATCGGTTACAAATGTAAGGTCCTCGACTTCCCCGATTACTTCCCTTAACTTTGTGAAGAACTGTCGCATCGACAGGTTATTCTCACTATCGACTATGCCAAACCTAAGAGGGTAAATTTGGATGTTGGCATCTTGACATGTAATAATAATCAACTTGCCTTGATATTTAGATTTTAGTGTTGTACCATCAACTAGAATTAGAGTCGCATTGCATTTCGAAATCCCCAAATGTATTGTCCAAGAGCCATGAAGAAGAATTTGAAGCAATTCTCACCCTCTGTCTCAATAAAAAAATTCGAGCCACGATTAATTTTCTCCATGTTATAGCAATACCTGGCCAGTTTAGCATAATTTTCCTCTGCATAGCCCATTAAATTCTCAAATGCACATTTCTTAGACTTTAAGGTTTTCTGGTAACTTAAGACAGTATCCGTACTCTCTAGGGGTGGGTGCGGGTCGGTTTGGTTTGGTTCTCTTTAGAACCGAACCGAACCAAACTTTTCGGGTATCTAGTAAATGGAACCGTCGGGTCCAAATATAATTATGGAACCGTTTGGGTTCGGTTCCATTCGGTTCGGTTCGGTTCCGTTCGGTTCTGTACTATAATTAAATTTTTTAACATTTAAAACGTTATATAAATACGACTAATGATACATTCAATGATTTTGGAATGTCAGAGACTATTAAACTACCTTGTTCAAATGATCGCTACGATCAAAACTTCGGTCGGCGAAAGTCACGGCTTCGATCGGAGGTCAGAGTGTCGGCCGACGATTGTATAAGTTTTGGAATATTAGCGAGGCTGCGAGAGTGAGTGCGAGAGTCGAGACAACGTTATGCAGTTTATTGTAGGTGTTTAGGGTTATTTAGTGGATTTTATCTTGTTTGGCTAAGAAATGAAACAATAAAATGGGTAATTGGGCTAAAAATTAAAAAATTAGAAATGAAACAAATTATTGGGGCAAAAATTTGGATTTAGAAATCATTTATTTGTTAATTTGTTTAGAAAAAATTAAAATTAAAATTAAAATAATTTGATTTACTCAATTTAAAAAAAATAAAAAATTAGAAATATTCGATTCTTATTCGATTTTTCGGTTTTTGGTCTAGAACCGAGAACCGAATTGTACCCGTCGGTTCTCAATTCAGATATCCGTTCGGGTATTTAATTTGACAAGAATCGTCGGGTTCGGATCGGTCGGTTCGGTTCGGGAGATTTGCCCAATCCTAGTACTCTCGACGGATGTCGTTAATGATGTCCGATGGTTTGTAGATCGTACGTGGATTCTGATACTTGTGCATTATCTATCGACCAATAAATCAAGCTCGGGCTCGCCTTACGATCATTTCGATGTAATCCCACTTCACAAGTATGTTCCCGTGTGTACTTGCGAACTACAAAGCACTCATTCGTATTCATTTTCGTCGCTCACAAATGCAAACAGCAACTTTCATCTACGCAGGTGATTAAACAACGACTTGTTTGATTTTTTCTCTTTGAACTCAAAATTGTATTTCAGCCCAATTAGGTGCACAGCTTCCTGCAAACCTTTTTCATTTCAAATGTTGCTTGACATACAAATCCTCACTATCGGGAACCACACGCGAAGAGTTAAAGGATGGTCCACTCGATCCAGCCCCTGAGGTCCCACTCCACTCATGTCTCTGTCGGGATAAAGCGATCAAATCCTCGTCTGTAAAAGTATTTACATTTTCACACTCATTGTCGTGAACTATGCACGGAATTCGGTGAGTAACTGTCTTTGGAATAACCACATCATCTTCACGAGCTATCTGGACGGTATTCCAAAAATCATTGACATTGTAATCCCCTCCATCTGAGTCTACTTGTTCACCTTCGACGACATCATTCCTTACTAAAGTCACGCAAATAGGAGTCGAGTGCCTGTTGTTCATTTTAAACAAATAATTCACTTCGGCATCAAAAGAAATCCTCATAGGTGGACTCAAAACCTCCTGATCGCTGAATTTAAATTTCAATTCCATGTCATACTGAGAGAGATCGACATTTAGCTTGTTCTGTAGAACGTTATAGAGTTTTGCATATGTTGTTGTTCTGTTATGAAAATTAGGATACCACCACGTTTATCACTTTTCCATTTCCATACCCATCGATCTCTTTCGTCCAATTCGAAATCACCAAAGTAACAAATTGGGGCTACAACCATATTTGCATGACAAAAAAGAATTTTTAATTGCCAGAAAAATATCAAAGGAAATAAAAAAATTAAAAAAACAAAAACAGCATGCTGTTCCAGCCGACTTTTTTCAACAGTTAACTAGACAGCCGGTAGTTCAAATTCGGCTGTCCGACAGAATAAACACACCAAAATTTTGCAGATTAATTTTTCAGTATTATTGCAGATGAATTTTTTCTCGCCAAATGCTCAAAATTTTTCACAGATCGATTAAAAAAACTATCTACATTAACTTTATATGTCGAAATAAATTTTATCTATTCAAACGTAAAATTATTTAACGAAAAAAATTAAATGTCCGTATTATAAACTTACTGGTCAGATGAGATTGATATAAAAAAATTTCAGTTACTGCATTCGATGAATTTTTTAGATCTTGAGGTTGAAGCAGATGAAAAATGAAAGTGTTTTTATCTGTGCGGGAGTAAACAGATATGAAAAGTTTGCTGATTTTGATATTTTAAGTGGGAAGTGTTTGGTTTTTATTTGTTAACTAAAGGGTAGTAATGTCTTTTAAACAAAACCTTCTTTTGTAATTGTATAATACACTTAAGGATATTTTTGTCTTTTAACACTCAATAGGCCATTGTGAAAATTTAATTTGAAATTTAATATTTATTTTTATTATTAGTTTTTGATAAATAATAATTTATTTAGTTGTTGAATTTAAATAAATTTTTTACTTTTAATTTTATTAATAGTTTTGGATGATATTCTTTTCGTTCATCAGATTGAATTAATTTTTTAATTGTAATTTGAAATAATTGTTGAAAATATAATTTGGAATTTAATATTATTTTTATTATTATTTTTTGATAAATAATAATTTATTTAGCCGTCGAATTTAAGTAATTTTTTTACTTTTAATTTTATTAATAGTTTTGGATGATATTCTTTTTGTTCATCAAATTTAATTAATTATTTTAATTGCAATTTGAAATAATTGTTGAAAATTTAATTTGAGATATACTATTTATTTTTATTATTAGTTTTTGATAAATAATAATTTATTTAGTCGTCGAATTTAATAATTTTTTACTTTTAATTTTATTAATACTTTTGGATGATATTCTTTTCGTTCATCAAATTTAATTAATTCTTTTAATTGCAATTTGAAATAACTGTTGGAAATTTAATTTGAAATATAATATTTATTTTTATTATTAGTTTTTGATAAATAATAATTTATTTAGTTGTTGAATTTAAATAAATTTTTTACTTTTAATTTTATTAATAGTTTTGGATGATATTCTTTTCATTCATTAAATTTAATTAATTTTTTAATTATAATTTGAAATAATTGTTGAAAATTTAATTTGAAATTTAATATATATTTTTATTATTAGTTTTTGATAAATAATAATTTATTTAGTCGTCGAATTTAAATAAATTTTTTACTTTTAATTTTATTAATAGTTTTGGATAATATTCTTTTGGATATATTTTTTTGAACTTCAATTTGAAATAATTGTTGAAAAAATTGACATTATCGATAATAGGATACAAAAATTTACATTATTGATGATTTTAATTATTATGAATCTGCGTCTTGCATATTGTAATTATAATTTCGTTCGCTAAATTTTTTGTTATTATGCTTTATTCTATTATCACTTGCACAATGTTATAACATTTTGGATTTTTACAAGATGGATTATCACCTTGACATAGAGTTGAGACAGATGCCAAACAAAGTTACGTGAAATAGTAGCTTTGACAGTTTCACTACTGTGTTAGAGCTGCTCGATGATCAGCATGCTAATATGTTGCACCAGTCTTTCCTGTGGCCCTTGTACCCGTGGAGAGATCTGCAGTACTCGGGTCAGATTATTGATGCACTTCTATGTCGATTGGTGAGTCCAGTCGACGATGATACCTTTCACTTCGCAGTCAGGGGTAAAGTTGCCAGTTTTTCGATGTTCGAGTTTGCTTTGATCACGGGATTAAAGATTACGGGCAATGACACAGCTGGTGATGGGACTCAGAGAAAAAATAGGCTTTATGATGCTTACTTCGAGGGACAGGGAACTGTGCTTCTTACACTGCTGTTCGACGCAATTAGGAGGTGTGATCAGATGTTAGAAAGACTGAAGTTAGGTCTGGTCTACATTCTTGAGAGCATGGTGCGGTGTCACTACAAGAAGATTGTGATTGACATTTTCCATCTAGAGATCGTTGATGACATCGATCGTTTCAACGACTATCCGTGGGGCTGGAGATGTTTCGAGGACACGTACACGTC